AGGTTCCTGGACCGTCTGGTACTGCAGTTGAAAGGAACCGAGGACACAGCACCATTCCCCTTTTACAACCTTGCCCTCAGAAAGTTCAGGAACGGTGAGGGGAAGGCTAGGAGGGTACATGAGAGTGCTCCAGCAGTCACTGCTAGAAGAAGGTTCCACCACCAGACTGCATTGCTGGCACACTCCACGAGTAGGAACGTGCAGAGGCCATCTGAAGAACTGTCAGGTTTATAGCCATGATTTCACATTAGCATTGTTTCTGTGAAGTGTTACACTGGTTTCCATTTCCCCCAGAGCAAGCAAAATACACTAGTTCAGTGACTCCAAACTAGAGACTAGAAAGAATACACTTACACTGTCTAAACTGTAAATCGGGACCATCCATAGAATCCTGTATTGATGACAAAAGAACATCTGAGATTACTGCAAGTATTTTCATCACCAGGAATGAAATGTAGTATTAGCAGCAAAGAATATGTAAAGTGTTACCTTATTATTGGTTTCTGTAATTCAGGTTGAGTATAATGAACTAAGTGTTGCAATATATCCCAGAGAGAAATTGGTATAGTCATCAGTAGAAAAATTCCAGCAATAAACCATGCCTTGGTATGAATTCCAACCTTAGAAGGGAGGGAAGGAAGAACAGCATAAATAGAAAAAATGTAATGTTAATTTACTGTACCTGTATCGCTACCATTTTAAGCAGTTTTTGAAGTATGGGTTTTTTTAAATGGGAGTAGCCTCTTACATGATACAGCAGGATTACGCACTGAACATATAAAATAAAGTGTTAAGAGCGGGAATTCCGCAAACATTCGAGAGAGTGAAACTGGTGTGTTTAAGTGTTCAAAAGTGTTGAGCATCAGAAAATAAGAATTACCAAAATAAAATCAGAGCATCAACATTGATAAATGGGAGAAACAAAACCAAAGATAGAAATATTGATAGTTGTTCAGTTATGAGACTAATCCAGGGAGTGATCCCACATTAAGTTTCCTTTAGTTCTTCTTCTCATACAGTAGGGGATGCCAACCAACCAAAAGAAACTTAACTTTATAATAAATTAAAGTTGTTAATAAAATTAATAATGGAAGGAAATTAAAATGAATATGGGAAATATGGTTGAAACTATCAGAGAAAGTAGATGTATTACACAATGTAAAAGGTAAATTAATGATACATGTTGATTATATAAAAATATTTAACAAAAATAAATTCAAAAACTATCAAAAAATAAAAATTAGCATAAAAATTCATTGAAAATTTGAGGAAACAATACCACAAAGCAAGTGTATGTTCAACAAAGAACTACAACTAAATAACAATATTATTCTATTTCATTTATGACATGTCACTTTAAGGAATCAATTAAAAGAGCACAGTAGTCAACTGAGGTAGACAACCCTCCAAATCTTTAATGTAATTTAACAACCATACTTAATTAATGAGTATAGTATGATAAATATAGATTAAGATGGGGGCATCAGAGTCATAGACTTTGTGGATGCAACTTCACTTCATACCACTAGGTTTCTACACACTACTGGTTTTCAACTTTTTTCATTTGCAGACCCCTAAAAAATTTCAAACGGAGGTGCAGACTTCTTTGGAAACCTTAGACATAGGGGGCCCTGGACCACAAGTTGAAAATCACTTCCATACACTAATGCAGTTGAGCTTTACTAGATCATTAAACTGAGTCAAAGGGATTCAATAAAACTAAAAGCCAAAACCACCATTAAACCAAACAAGCTTAGTATGGCCAAGTGGTAACTTTTGAGAATGCTTTTAGAAAAGCACTTTTAACATTGCCTGTGAGATTGAAGAAAACAACTTTAAATCAGGTGGTCACTCTAAGCTCAATGCTAAAATTTTAGTGCACACACATCTAATTATTGTTTCAATAATAACAGCCACAGGATGTATATATATTGAATAGAAGAGCCTCAGTACCATAAAGGTTGTGCAGGGTTAGTTAGCAGGGGTTAAAGGTTTGAAGTTACTGTCCAATGCAACGGTATAAAGCTGAAGCTTAAGTCAAGCAAGGTGAGGTGTGCTTAAGGAGCATGGTGGGATGAGACAATGCAGTCCCAGGAATATATAGAGAGGAAGATAACATTTCTGAGAGAAGCTTTTACGTGTGAACACAGAATGGTCAAATTTAAAATGCAAAAAGGAATACTGAAATGCAGCTTGCTCTCAGAGCTTGGGTAGAACAAGGAAATTTGAGTTATAATCTAAGAAGGAACACAGCTGTCTGACTAGTGAGAACTCACACTTTAGAATGAATTCTGATAGTTAGGAACACTTATAAACAAGATAAATAGAGAAGAAAGCATTTCATGATCTGGAAAACAGATAAGGTTGAAATAAGGTAGAAATTATGAGAAGTTATTTTCTCTCACACACACAGCATAAACAGCAGGTAGTGAAAGTGGAGGAAAAAATGGAGATTACCTGTCTCTTACTCACTTAGCAATGGTCTAAACCAGTGCTTCTCAAGCTATCTGATGTGGGGAACCAGCAATTTTTTTTCCAACGTGCGCGCAGACCGGCAACCGATGGCTCGCGGACTGGCACCGGTCCACGGACCACCACTTTGAGTAGCACTGGTTTAAACTACAGTTAGGTCAACATAAGACATATGTCAGTGTCTACATTACAGCCTTCCTCCCACCAATATAAGCACTGGACTACACCAGCATAACTCCACCTCCATGAGAGGCATAAGGCTTATGTCCCTGTAGTTAGGAGGACACAGTGTCTGTGTAGACTGCCTCCCTTTATATCAGCTGTTGGTTCTCTTGTCAATTTCACTGCAGGAGCTGTGAAATTGACAAGGAAGCTGGGCAGCTGGAGCCCAGCTGAACCCTGCTCAGGGCTGGGAGTGAGAATGGACCCCACTCCCAGCTCAGAGTTGGGGGCAAGAAGCCCTGGTGGCACCCCAACCCCTGGCTCCTAGCTGGGAACAAGCAGCCCCAACACCTTTGGACCCAGCTCCCAGCTGGGAGCCAAGGCAGAAGCCCCAGTGCCCATCCTCAGCTGGGAGTTGAACAGCCTTGTCAATTTCAGAAAGAGGGAGCAGGGTAGAGGGGCCAAGAAGCTGGTGCAGCTGGACCCCACTCCCCAGGGGTAAGAAGCCCAGGGTGGCTTCCCTCAGCTCCTGGCAGGGAACGGAGAGGGGAGAAGCCCTGGTCTCCCAGCCCTGCTGGCAGCTCCCAGCTGGGAGCCTGGCTGGCCCACAGGCTCCCAGCAGGTTGCCCCCCGCTTTGGCTTCAACAGAAAACAGTCTTTCTTAAAGTGTATTTCTAGTTTAAATTAACGGTTTTTATTTTTATACATATATACAATATATGTTTTGTTAAAAAAGTTGACTTTTTAAATAATTTGTTTGATTAGACTATTGAACTAGTATAAAAGCTTTGAAACTTGTTAAGCATGTTGCACCGACAGATTCCCATCCATGCTTGACTGGCACATGACATCCCTTTTAAAGGGAAACAGTCAACGTAATCACTTATGCCTGAATGTTTAACCCACAATTGTTAAAATAACTAAGAATATTGATCCTGAAGGGGAACAAAAATCTTTTTTTCCATTGTTTATTTTGTGCTTTTATCAGCACTTGAATACACATAGTTTTCAGTTTCCATTCATTCGCTACTGTTTTTGTTATCTTTAAAGCCACAAAAATTGGCATAGCCTCAAGAGAAAGGAGTAACTTTAATTTTTTTTTTTACTTAGATTTTGAGTCTGTGTCCTTTCAAGTAAGTTGATACTAGCACCACGCAGAGAAATTTCAGACTTCTAAGAGACCTGGACTTCATAGTTAATGGGCTTTACATTGAGAACTTTCAATTAACTTTTCTGATGTCACTATCTTTTTATGACATCACTCAAACTATAAGTCTACAGACAGGGTTTATAAATAAGATTTTATATTTATGAAGGCAACATTAGGTTTAACTACAAGGAGTAAATAAGAGGAAATGAGCCTCAAGATGATTGTTTTGAACAAGACATTAGATTTGTCACTGGAACAAATGTAAGACTGAAATAGGAGACCTGTTGCCAAGATGCTCAGCGTGTGCTCCTTTGGACAGGAAAGCGACAGGACTTTTACTCGTGGCAGCTGAAGATGTGAACGTTAATTTTGTTTTCAAAGCCTAGCGCTCATGCTGATGCCAGCCTACCAAACGGGGAAGCCCATCGGCGTGTACGCAGACCAGACGAGCCCACGCTACGGCTACAGCCTTGTTTATGTCTTGCCCGGAGCCATGCCGCGGTGCTGCCACTCTCGCCCGGCCCAGCCAGGCCCCGCACACGCACACCCCGGCCCCTCGGTTCTCCGGGGGGGAGGGAGGCAGGCAGCGAGGGCCGCTTACCTCCAGTTTCTGCAGCTCCCACACACACAAGGGAACCGCCACCAGCAGCCCCACAACGTAGAGAACAACGACCAGCGGCCGGATCCACCTCCGCCAATTGCCGCAGGTGCACGGCATGGTCCCGGCAGCGAGCGGAGCGGGGCTCGGCGCCTCCCGGCCTGCACCCACCCCCGGCCCGGACGCGGCGGGCTCAGGTGCTGGGAGCCGGCCTGGAGCGCGCGAGAGACGAGGACAGCACCGGCCGAGACTCGTCGGGCGGGCGGCCCATCTCACCGCCCCCTGCGGGGCGCAGCCCGGACCTGTCCCGCCTCCTCCTCACTCGGGATCTCGGCTCCAAGCAACCCCTAGCACCACTTCCGCCCCGCAGCCTAACCACACTTCCGGCTTCTCGCGCAACCACGTCACATCCCAGCGCTGATTGGCTGCCTGTGCGGTGTACCTTTCTCTAGCCCGCCCTTCGAGTTCTCTGATTGGGCAGCACGGACGTCAGTCCCTGGGATGGAGGGGTTCTATTGATCCAGGAATCAGTGATTTGTTTATACGTGCTTTTACCCTCCCTCCACGCTGGTCTCTCCTACCTGCTTTCCCCCCCCATCACTCCAGAACAATGGTCTCTCCTAGCTCCTCCCACTCGCAGACCTCGAGTATTCTCTCGGGCCGTTGCTCGGGCAGCGCCTGCCCCAGGGTGCCCCATTCCCCCCGGGCGCTGCCAGCGCACGCTCAGAGCCGGGCATCCGCCAGCAGCAGGGCCGGCTCTCGGGGTGACTTGTTAAGTGAGAAGTGGGGGATGCTTCAGCGCTAGAGGTGATGGTGGCCGCTTCCCTCCGGGATGGTGCTTGGTCTCTACAGCCTGTTCGGGGCTAAATCCCTTGTGCTCGCTTACTGCCCAGTTCAGTAGTAGGGAGGTGCCGCTATGGGCACCTGTGTTTGTGTTTTTGCTTTTGTTTTTCAACATTCTTACATTGTTTAAAAGAAAGTGGGCTGGTTTCAGTCCTCTTATTAAAAGACAGGCTCAAATCACCATTGCCCCGCACTGTAGACAGCCGTAAAAGCCTTGGCTAGATTAGGGTTGAGCAGTATGGTGTCAGATTGTGTTAGCCAACTAACAGCTTCTAGCCCTCTGCTCAAGACGACAAGGTACTTGAAACACATGCTAAACTGGTGGGGTTAAATGCTAAACTCCTGCCAGATTTTAATTTGAGCAGTGCAGCATGTTAAGGGAGGCAGGCTTTATTTACCTTTGACTTTTCTAGAAGGTGGTAGCTAACTCCAGCTAACCTTTCAGCCTTTTATTCTAAATTAGATAATGTTTAAACGACTACAAAAGGTACTGGGTAAGCAAATTGGGGGCTAAATCTTTTTATCGCTACTGGTAATTTGTGGACATGTGTTTTCCTGCATCGCAGAGAGCAGGAGTTGGGAAAGTGCTAAGAGATTAATCCTGCAAGTATTTACCCACATAAATACTTCCACTCAAGCTACATATGTAAGGATTGGTTGGATTTGACCCTAGCTTTGCATTGTGCAAATTGTGTTTCCGAACACTCATGTTTCCCTGGCATTTAGGCATTGAGGGAGAGAATTTCATTTCACAACTTAACATGGCAGCAAGAAAACCAGAAACTTGTCAGACTGCTTAGCCAGAGGGCAAGCTAGTAATATGGAGAACTGGCTGCATCTGTAATATTCATTCCATGCATCTGAAGAAGTGGGATTTTTACCCATGAAAGCTTATGCTCAGATAAATCTGTTAGTCTTTAAGGTGCCACTGGACTCCTTGTTGTTTTTGTGGATACAGACTAACACAGCTGCCCCCTGATACTTGGTTGTGCTCTGTTTTCCTCCCACCACCCTAGATTTAAGGAACAAAGCAACCTAAAATACCAAAGATTACATCTCAATAATTTACACAGGTTTCCTAATGTGAGGAGAGGAAAGAGAAGAGAGGGGTTGAGGCCTGAGGCAGGAGCCATTGCTGTCCAGAGGATGGAAGGAGAAAGGGGTGGTAAGTAGCAGTAAGGGGCTTCCACACAGATGACTCTCCCTGTATGCCTCCCCCACAAAAAACCCCAAACTATATGGATTACTAACATCCAGGCATTTTGGTTCAAAATCACCAGCAGCTTCTGCAGTGGACTGGGAGAAGCAACCCCCGCAATGGATAAATGAAAAGGGTTCTGCACATTCCAAGATCCAAAAAGGTACTTAGGCATCCAAGTCCCTTTTTTAGGTGCCTCTGCAATCCACAAAATTCCTGCTTGGCTACCACCTAAACTTGTTGATGCCTAAACTTACTTGGCACCTATTTTTTTCCATCTGGGCATGAGTATGACAGCCTCACTCTTAGGTGCCCAGGCACCTGTCTTCTGCATAAGCTGCAGAGCGAGTCACAAACTGAGAATGACAGGTGTTCAGCTGCTCCAGTTGTATGCAGGGGCCTGCCTACTAGATTATGCCCCTCAGGCAAGTTCATACAAAGCAGCTTGGGAGGGGGGAAAGAGAGAGGAGTCTTTACCCTTTATAATCTTTACCTTAGTTGTTAGGGTACTCACCCACCCAGGATGTGAGAGACCCTCCAGCTTAACAGGGATTTGCCATCTCTTAGGTGAGTGCTGCAACCACTAGGCTATAGTGTCCTTCTTACTCTTTATCTAGCCCAATTCATGTTTAAGTATAACATTGTTTAGTTAAAGTGGAACAACTTCAATAGCAGAGATTGAGGGAGATTCACATCAGACTATCCTATAGCCCACAGTGGCTAGAGCATTCATCTGAGAGGTGAGAGATCACAAGGGAGCTTCCTCTCCCCCCAGCTGTTTTGTTTCAGGTCCTGCACACAACATAGGTGGCCAAGCATCCATCTTCCCCCACGTTATGGATCACTAGCAGAGCTAGGCACCTCCTTCCGAGCAGGGGTGCTTGTCACACACCCTCTGGTCAATGTCTCCCACTGGCTAGCTTAGGCAGCTCCCTTGTAGCTTGCATTCTGGTGTGCCTGTCTCTCCACATTCATTGTATAAGAGCCTAAGCACCAAACTCAGGCTTTGTGGATCACAGTGATTTTCCAGGTACCTAAAAGCTAGGTGCTGTGATGCTCAGTTTTGTAATGCCTAAAACCCCTTGTGGATCCAACCCTATGTCTTTAAGGCATAACCATTACTGAGTTTGTACTGCTAATACTACAGCCCTAGAACACATATAAAAGGGATGATGGCCAGACTTGTGTGGAAAATAAAGCCAAGACTGAAAAGATCCTACTGCTGCGAAGGAACCCTCTTCCCCCCTAAAAAAACAAATACACAGAACCAAAAAAACCTACTGTCTTCATATTCATAGGTATAGGGGTAGAGAGAGTAGGAGGTTTAATACAAAAATTCTGGCAGCACCATTGCCATTTTGTCAGGCAGTCACTGAGTTTTACAGCTGGGAAATCAGAAGCACAGCAAAGATATGTAGTTTGCCCAAGGTCACACATCAAAGCAGAGGCAGAGTTCAGAACAAAATCCTGTTCTCTGGTGCGGTCACTAGACAACAGCTTTTCTGTAGAACCTCAGAGTTACGAACTGACCGGTCAGCCACACACCTCATTTGGAACTGTAAGTGTGCAATCAGGCAGAAACAGAGACAAAAAAAAAAAAAAAAAAGCAAAGTACACTACAGTACTGTGTTAAACATAAATTACTAAAAAAATAAAGGGAAAGTTAATAAAATATTTGACAAGGTAAGGAAACTGTTTCTGTACTTGTTTCATTTAAATTAATATGGTTAAAGCAGCATTTTTCTTCTACATAGTAAAGTTTCAAAGTTGTATTAAGTCAATGTTCAGTTGTAAACCTTTGAAAGAACAGCCATAATGTTTTGTTCAGAGTTACGAACATTTCAGAGTTACGAACAACCACCATTCCTGAGGTGTTTGGAACTCTGAGATTCTACTGTAGTTGGGATTATGTTTTCCGGTGTACATTACTTTGCATTAATCAACATTGAATTTTGCATTTTGTTGCCCAGTCATCCAGTTTTGTGAGATCCCTTTGCAACTCTTTGTAGTCTGCTTTGGACTTAACTAGCTTGAGTAGTTTTGTATCATCTGCCAATTTTACCACCTTGTTGTTTGTCCCCTTTTCCAGCTCATTTATGAACACGTTGAACAGCACTGGTCCCAGTACAGACCCCTGGGGACACCACTATTTACCTCTCTGCATTCTGAAAACTGACAGTTTATTCCTACCCTTTGTTTCCTGTCTTTTAACCAGTGAGAGGATCTTCCCTCTTATCCCATGACTGCTTAGTTTGCTTAAGACCTTTGGTGAGGGACCTTTCTGAAGGGACCTGTTTGTTTGGCAGGTTTCCTGTTTCTGATGTAGTGAACATTTTTTTTGCTGTTAGTTTTTGAGTCAGCTACTAGGTGCTCTTCCAATTATTTTTTGCTTGCCTAATTATGTTTTTATACTTGACTTGCCAGAATTTATGCTCCTTTCTATTGTCTATTAGAAAATGTTAAACAGAAAAAGTTCTCTTAAGGAATTTATTTAAAAGGAGAGTTTCTGGAATAACTAGGGTAAAGCAAACCTGCGAGTATATTAATCTCCACAGTGAATTTTCCATAATAAATACATACAAACTGATAACAAGCAGTTTTATTTCTTGGTAATTCATGATTTAACAATGAATTTAAAAATTAACACAATTTTTCCCATCATTTTGGCTCTTTGAAGGTCAAACCCTCCTCCCTGTTTTAGTGTAGTATAAGTATAAAATTAAAGTTAGTTTGTTTCATTAAGAAAATATATATATGTTGTAAAGAAAGGCCCTGACTAACAAGTAGAAGGAAAACCTTGAAAATAATAAGGACAGAAGGAATAAAGTCGGGAGGATGTCTGGTTCAAAGACTAACTAACAAGGTAAGGGGAAGTTTCTAAAATGAAGGCCTCTGGCCAATAGGGGTGACTACAGATGGTTGTAAATTAAAGAGAATCTGTCTTAAAATGAGCCAACACAGCCATTCCCCAACCCAACATTAGTGTTAAAGCCTCTGTGAACCCAGATAAAATTGGGCAGCAAGGAGGAGAGGAAAGGCCTTAGGAAGAAAGAAGGTTGTAAATCTTATCTAGATTAAGACTGGAAATAAGGGTGAACTGTCTCCAATTGGTTTTAGAGTAGCAGTCGTGTTAGTCTGTATCCGTAAAATGAAAAGGAGTACTTGTGGCACCTTACCTGAAGTCAGTAATTGGCAGTGACATCACTAGTTTGTTAAAGGGTATAAAAAGTAAACCCTTAAAGGGTTCATTGCTAGTAGTTGCCTGACCATGCTGGAGTCAACCAATATGGGTCTAGCACTCCTGGGTTTAGCCCATTAGTAAGTATCTTGATCAAATGCTATTAAATGTTTTGTTACTGCTTGGATGTAGTAAATTGCTTATTGTTTGGTCTTTTTAAGCATATATAGAGCAACTGCATAAAGTACCATTTGGCTTTGGATTGAATAAAGAAATGTATGGCTAAATTGGTGTTTAGAATTATTAATGGGAAAATCACCAATGCCTAGTGATATTAAAGGAAGCTGAGAAGCTGGTTATGACAAGTCTTCCTTAAAATTACTCCTAATACCAGAGCACAGCACCAGTGCCCCCTCAAAATCTGCTGCTGGAGTGGGAGCAGGCTGCCAGCAGTCTTTGGGCATAATCTGATTCTACAACAAGGAGAAAGATGCTGGTCACTAGTGGACTCCTTCAGGTTTCTTCAGCAGCAGAGCCTACTGGTATAAAACCCCTCAAGGATTGTGCTGTTCACGGGGTTTGGCATAGATTTTTATTCTGAGCTCTTGCAGTTCTTATCTGTTGCTCACCGTTCTGTACCTTTTTGTTTCATGCTTCAAGGCAGCAATATCTCCCAGAACTAATTCAGTATCTTTTTAAGGTTCTGAGCCTAACTGGGCACAGCTGATCTGATTACTCCCTAGCTGGGAGTTCCTCCCTGAGCTGACTTTTAAAACTTCTGCTTGGCTATGACCCAAAGAGCCCCATGCCACTTATACAGCCTTTTTTTGTATAGCCTCCTGCACATCCTCTGTTCCTGAAGACTCTGAGATTCTGTTTAATTTGCAAGCCTCCATCTCTGTCAGACTATGACATAGTTTCTCTTGGTTCCACATGCCTTTTTTTCTGCTTGATTCTCAGGAGTGTAATTCTTCTTTTCCCTGCCACTACATTTTATTTTTAAAACAATACAAGGGGTCATTCCCTTACTGATCACCTGCAGCAAGCACTGTTCTTTAATGCAGGAGCTGAGGAAAATCAGTTCACCATCACCCCATTGTAACTGTTTCATGCCTTCTCTCTGTAAAGAACTATTTTTTTCCCCCTTCCCCAACTCTGGTCCTCCTGCAACAAAAAAACAAGCCCCCTACCTCTTTTAAACTAGGGGAAAATTTCTATTCATTCTTTGTAGTGTGCAGTCTGTAACACGCTGTTGATTAGTCCTGATTCCATCCAGAAGAGAACACTGTTATCGTATTTTTATTTTATTAAAACTTCATAAACCATTTTAAAACTGAAACAAAAATAATTTTTAAAGTACCAGAGGTTCCCTCTTTATCAACACAAACCATCCCATTCTTTCCCATCACTGGCTTCTGTCATGTTTGAATATAACAATAGTGACACCAGTTCCAGAAAGTTTTGATCTTTGCTATGAGAATCTGGTAAATTGCCATCCTTGCCTACCTGCTTCCTTGTTTTTTTTATGGATGGTGACTGAGGAGAATGGGTGGTGGTCAACTCCAGAAGCATCTCTCACCAGCAGCTTGTGTGATAATTTCCAGTGTGGCTCCTTTGCTCAAGGTTACACTGATCTGGGGACTTGTTTCATTATTATTATTGCTAGGTTGATTGACACTTTTAATCATGAATTCCTGTTATAGTGAATGAGCATCTGTATTTCCTTGGTACAGCACTCACTTAGTTTTATTTTTTTTTAATTTAAGTACAGTGACTCAAAGTATATTATGGAACATAAAGACCAGAGGCTGTGTAACTCAGAAAATAGTGGCCATAAAGCAATCAAACATAAATAACTCCTCTCACACCAGCCCTCAGAAGGGCACATCTATCAATGTTCTGACTTGTTACAATATACAAAGGATGGGTGCCAAGTGTTCTTAAATTCAGCAAGCTTATTATGAAGTCTTGCTCCAAGGAAGTAATGTCACACTCCTGTCAAGTTCAGTAATATGAAAACCTTTCCAAAATTTCATCATCTATGTCTAGCAGCATAGAACAAATGTCTTTTAATTGATCCCATATATCTCTTAGCCCAAAGCCCAACAGTCACCTAGGCAGCTCCAAAAGAGTGACAAGTTAGGATTCACAGAACGTTGGAATGCTTTCTGTAGTGAGGAGGACTGTTGGGTATGATCTGGTTTAGAGTGGTGTTTAATATAAAGGAATGAAATCTTGCCCAGAATAGCACAGGCAGGGGGTAAATGATGCTGTCTAGCACATCCTCAGCAAACAGACTTCAACCAACTATGGCAGAAGGAATAAACCATAATTGCCCCCTCAGCTGGCAAGGTCATGTGACGAGTAAAGAATCCCCCCCCCAGTTGTTTTTCTAACATTAAACAAGGAACTTTTAGTCTACAGAAACTATGCTCTCCCTCTTCTAACAAGTAATTACCTATTATGTACTTATTGCTGAGAAGATGGCAGTTTCTGTCTCTCTCTCCCTTTGATTCATTGTTGAGCTTTTGTTTAGAACATTTTATTTTCTGCCTCCCACTTGGTTTTCTGCTATAGTTTTAAGGAAGTAGAACACCTATCCACCTATGGTTGGTGCTGGAATTAGAGCTGCTGGGATTTTATTTCCCATTCCTCTTTCTAGGGAGGGAACAGGTGGGTGGGATCTTCACATCTCTCCCAGCCCTGGAAGGAGCTCATGAGCAGGGGATCTTCTCTTTCATTCCATAGTCCTGTAGAGGGATCTGTGGCAGATAGAAGCAGATGGGATTGCTTGCAGGAGAAGATTGTTGGGTTAGAACAGGGAATGCTGTTGGCTCGACCTTCACCTCACCCATATTGGGTGAGAGATTGGTAATATCAGTGATGTTGGATCATATTAAAGAAGTTCTGTATTAAAATCACAAATGAGTTTGATTCCCCATAGTTTAAATTCCAGGGTATTACTAATTAAGAGGGAGGTCTCTTGGTTTTTGCCTGCTAATTGTGTTAGTACATCCTAAAACAGAGTCTGTTCTCAAAGCAATACTTTGTAACAATGACTACTCACACACAGAGACTCAAAGCGTTACTTTGTAATAACAGAAACAGCACAAAGAGGCTCCCCACCCTTTTGTTGTATTTATCTCGCTTTGTTAACAATTGTGATTAAAATAGAGATAGAGGATGTATGTGGATGGATGCTTGGTGTGGATAATAAATGAATGATCAGGGAGGTGCCAGCCTAAGAATCCAGTGTCCATCGGCTGAAGAAGGCGTCAAGTGGAAACAACCAGAGGACCCCCGGAGGGCAGACTGGAATCCAACAGCCTCAAGGATAGGAGAACCGAAGAACAAGATAACATCTGGCAGCATGGAGCCATCAGGAATGTGCCATCTGCTGATTGATTCAGGAACAGCATGATGAAGCAATTCCCACAGACTGGCATAGGAAGAAATTCCTATAAAAGTGGACTCTAGAAAGTGAGAACTTTGGGGTCTGATTCTGCAAACCAACTTCCAGGAGCATCAGATGAGCATCTGACAAGGTCCTGCTCCCTCCTTGTGTCCAGGCCGCCTGGCCAGTGGCTTGGCACAAGCAACTCTAAGGCTGGTAACTATGATAACAACCTTGCAGAACCTGTGTGTGTGTGTGTATGAATGAATGTGTGAATAAATATGAAATTGAATGGAATGTTATAGCTATAACTAACTGCTTACTATGATTCTTTCTGTATTCACAATAAATGTGGGATTTTGCCTTTTCCCCTTTAATAAGATCCTGCTGGTTTTTATTTTATTGGTACAACAGTGACAGTGTCCAATATTTCAAAAACATGTCAGGCACCAAAAATATCATGAAGCTGGCTTAAAAAGTCTGAGAAGAAAGACATAATTTATTTGTGTCGTCTTATTTGCTTTCTGGATTTTGAGTCTTTAGAAATCACCTTTTAAATCATTTATCTGAAATCATGAAGATTAGAAATGTACTTGTTTAAAATTAAAGTTGATCTGTAAGAATATGATTCCAGGAGCTAGCACATTAAAAGAAACACTAAATATCATGAGCCTTGCAATAAAATTATAAGGGATGCCAGCATTGAGTCAGAAAGGAGCAGCAAGGAATCCAAATAAGAAGGAACAGCAACTGGGAAGGGTCATGTCCCTGAGTGACCTGCTTCTCCTCCACAGCAGCAGCCCCTGCTGCAAAGGTCTTCTTGTAGCTAACTAATACCAGATTGGGAGAGGGGACTAGACCAGAAGTGTAGCAGCAGGAAGCAGACCGTTTACCAGGCAAATATCCAGCTGGCCTGGTGGCTCAGTCGGGACCTGTGGGTATCATTTTAACAGGGCAGGGCAATGTGCTGTGGAAGACACTTTTTGCTAATTCTCTGAACAGGAGTAAAAGCACAGCCCAGGCTAGTGTGTGCTGCTAATGGCAGGATTGGCACTAACCAGCTGGGGTACAAAAGATACCACATTCCCCTGGGGACATGGGCCACCATGGTGCATTAACTGGCAAGTTAGCCAGGCCCACCTCTTGTGGTCACCTTCTCTTGGATACTATGATAGGGTCCTACCCTACTACTTACATGGGAGGAAGATGCACCTTATGCCCTCTATCCCACATGCCCAAGAGAAGTAAAGAAGGCAGTTTTAGCCCCTATAATAATATATAAATAATACTCTATTTACAGATCTGTTCCTTTGTGCCAGGTAAAATGTATACTTGCTAGTCTTTGGAAAGAGAAATACTCTTATAAACCCATTATCTGTGTTATCAGAGACTCTGAGGTATATACTGTTCTGGGAGAACGTTTTGCAGCCATCTAATCACACCGAAGTTACCTGGAATGGAATTGGGCCCATGATGTTCAATATTTTCAGTGGGTTTAACATTAAAATACCTAGTTATCATTCACAGTTTCCCACCTCAAAAAAAAAAAGAGAGCTAAAAAGCTACTAAATTGGTGTATTCAGAAATGTCACTTATTTGTATTTTAAAAAGATCACTAAAATATTTTTAAATATTAAATATTTTTAAAACTCTCATAATAACTCATGATTCATCACTTCAACAGACTGATTTCAATGATTTAACTGTTACAAAATGCATTGAAACATTTGATACCCTTCATTCCTGAGGTTAGCATTATAGTTTTATTCAGGGTGTGAACTTTTAATTACTATCTTGTACAACCATTCTCCCCAATTACCTAAAAAAGGATGCTCAGATAGAAACAAAACTCATATAAAGGATATCTTTTATGAGAAAATGAAATTTACTGGGTGTATTGTGCCACTAACTACTGTGAATTCTGCTTAAAAACTAATGATATGACAGAGAGGTGTGTTTTGAACTTAAAAAGACAAATAAAAGGACCTGAATACAGCAATATCTAAAACCTCCATACTCCTGGATTATCTCAGTTCAGTCATTTAACCCTTGTTACTTTTAGTTCATTAATAAAGCAAGGACAGGAAAAGACCTGAAGCCTTCCTAGTGCAGAAAAGGTGACAAATAATATGCAAGAGAAATGCAGTAAAACAGCAGTAATAACCACTAGGGTGTGCTATAGTTCTAAAATTGAAGCCAGTCTATGTACAAAGGGGTGAATACTGAGAAATTCTCAAGTGTAGTGTAAACATAATACACTAGTAGTCTCTTTTAGAGACCTCAGAAAAGAAGTACAGAATACAGATTTTCATAAGGAAAGGGAATAGAGGATTTGACTGCTGAGAAAATCTTTTAGTTTTACAGATATGTATAGCTGTTATGCATTAAAATGGGATTTTTATTAAAGGATGGTCACTGCTGTAATGACATTAATTCAATGTTAATCCTATTATATACCCTAAATTACATGTGAATATACATACATACAGTAAATATATCAGATTACATTATGCTAGGAAAATATATTGATTCCTCCATTGGAAACCAAATGTATGTGTACAAAACAGAGGCAAAAATTTGGATAACATACATATGTAAATCAGCACAAATATGTATAATGCAGAGAACTCAATTTGCGTTCTGTGTTCAAAATTTTCAGGTGACATAATAGAAACTTTGTTGTGTGGGTCTTCTCTGGTTTGCACCAAATGTAAGACTATTTATTAAACAATAGTTTTGTAAATGATATTCATAAGCATTATTTCTCTTTTTATGATGGGTTTACATTGACTTACTGGCTATGAAATACTTCATGTGTTTTTAATGAAAATGTTGGAACCATTTGTGATGATGGAAGTATTGTTTTTAGAATTAGCCCATTTGTGTTGTTTTTGGTACATTCATCTCTAGAATGTTTGTTTAAAATGCTAGAGTTCTTCAATGTTAATTTTAGATGCTGTCGCTGTGGACAACACATTTTTAAGCAGTATAGATAGAGAAAGAAGATACAAAGGGACACAAAAAATACAAGTAAAATATTTATTCTCTCCTGTATGAAATATTTTAACAGTTTTTAAAAATAAGACACCTTCTCATTACAAAACCAGTGGAATTATTTTCTAGTTTATTCTATCCCTGATCTTCAGTGCTGATTTCCAATCTTCTATCTTTAGACTTGTTTTAAATAAGCAACTTTAATAAAACAACGGCACAAAAGAAAAAGGATTTAAGGATCTATCATGGCTCTACAAGCCACGGCAATGCTGTGAACAGGCTGGAAAGACCTTTGAACCAGCATCAGTTCCCGGAGACATTCAGCTTGTGGAAAATCTTGGGATATGCAATGCCTCTGATGGCATGGGGGAGAATATGCTACTTCATTCCCTTTCTGGACTTTCGCTTAGTGTTGTAAGTTATACAGCAAAAGCATAAAGCGTGGCAAAACCCTGTAAGTGGTGTTCTGCATTACTCTAATATATTGCAGAGGGCAGAACGGGCAAAATGACCTAGTAGGTCTTTTCTGTCTTTAATTTCTGTGTTTCTCTGACTGCTGTTACTTTCACAACTCCCTTAAAAATGTTAAAATAGAGTACTTCCAATCACCCTCCCTATCACCACCCAAAAAGGTACAGCTTATTAAAGATAAAGGTCTTGATCCTTCCCTTTGAAATCAATAGCAAAACTTCCTTTTAATTCAATGGAAGTGGAGTGTTAAAGAAAGAAGAAACTGTATATCTGTGGGGAAGGCATACCATTTTGTACCTAGTTCTTGAGGCTCCTACATTTCTGCCAAATCTATGCAGCTCTCTTCACTTTAAAACAAATCAATTAAAAGGAATCACTTTGTGAATTTTAACCTGAATCCTTCCCAGAAGTGTTCTGTAAAGTGGCTCAAAGAGCTGCTGAAAAGAGGACAAGAAAAGTAAAAAGGCTTTTGTTTTCAGAATATGTGCACGATTCTTCTTTTATCCTCACATAGATTTATTTAGCTAAAGATACTGTAACAGCTTATGCATGTGATTAGATTTAATCATTCATTATGGAATAAAATTATAAAGACAAATGCTCACTTTCTTTATAAACAGGAGGATAGAAAAACCCAAAGCCATATGAGGATGACAATAGACTCTGATCCCAGCAAACATATAGTATAAGCAATCGTGACTGGAAGACATTCTTGCTAAATACATTTCAAATGAATAGCTGTTACTGGAAAAAAGTTTTAGTAACCATGAAAACAAATAAAAATAAAATCCTCCTTTTTGAAGTGGCAACACTGATTAAATATAGTAATACTTGTGGGTTTGTGGGAGCCTGTAGCAAATTGTTAGCTTTTGTGCTGCAGTGTAAAGAAATCTATGAAACAGATTGAAACCCCTGAACAAGGGCCCCTGAAAAGGAAAACTTCAATATTTTAAAGTGACTTTTTGGGCCTCCTGAGTCTTTCTGGCACATCATTCTCAGATCCTTATGGACTGGGAAACTGCCAAACAGCTCTTTTCCCACAAAACTCTAGTAAACTTTGAGTGCTGGACAACAGGGTAGTACGTTTCCCAAAGAGAAATATATTGTTTTAAAATACCTAAATTACAGGAATTAGCCTTCAAATGAACCCAAGGATCTTTTCCTCTGTTTTTGTATAAATACAAGAAATTAAATCTGTGTCTTGTACTGGTTCAGTATTTTTCTTGCTCATGCTGAAGAATTTTTTTTTGCATTGATTTACATTGTATCAGCAATGTGTTCATCTGTCCATCCTGTTTGATAAAACAGACACATTTATTTTAATCAAAAACATGGTTTGATTTTATCAAGTATTAAAAGTCTTTCTGAGGTAATTACAACCACATTAAAGTGCTGTGTAACTACAAATATTTCAACTCATCTTCAAACAAAAGAGGAAACGTTATAAATATTATGGGCCAAATTCTGCTCTCGGTTACCAAGGCTAGTTCAAGCAAGTCTCAGACTCCTTGCATTTAGCTGGGCCACTTGCTATGGGTCTTAAGATTTATGACTAGATTTTCAAAAGTGATCAGTACCCAGTAACCTTCCTTGAGAATGATGGGTGATCAGCATGTCTGAAAATCATGCTATTTACATGTAATTTCATTTGCACCCCCACACTTGCTTCAAATGTATATGCCAGCTGAAGGAGGGAGCTGTTCAAGCCCACAATGGAGTGGCAGGGAATGTGGCGTGTATGTGTAACAGTGGATGGAAATTTCCTTTTAAATAGATTGAGGGAAGTTGCTGTGATGTGCTCCCAGCCAGCTACAACAAAGGGGCAATTTAACTTCTCAGTCAATGTGCCACAGCTTGTATTCCACACCCCACAGAATTGGGGAAG